TTATTGCCCTCATGTTCACAGTGATATGCAACATGTGCGGCGTAATGGGCGCAATAGTCCTTTTCGCACATTTGTGCACCCGACGCATGTTTGCGCGTGTGTATGTGGGACTGGGGACTTTAAATAAATTTGTGTGTTTGTTTTTTTTGGAACTTTTTAGTTTTTTTACTTTGTTTTGTTCTACTTAACTTTATTATCATCACATAGGGAACTAAGACTCCCCCTATGTGATAGCAAAGAGGATATGACAGGTCCTCCTTATGGAGACATCAGGGGCCCTAATGTCACCTAGGGACCCCCAAAGAAGCTGATGAAGCAGAGATCTGCTTCACCAGCTTCTCTCAATCTTCTGTAGCCGGAGAGTGACAGCAGAATTCCGAAGTGATGTAATATACATCACTTCCGCATTCTAAATCAGAGAGGAGTTCGGAGGGAGATTGTGCACTGATCTCCTGTCACAAAGTTGCAGTGCTGGTCCAGGCCTGCCCTGGCAGAGCAGAGCTCAGGACCAGGGGGGCGCACTGATCGGCACCTCACACAAGCATTCCGTCGGCTCTATAGCCGGCGGATCGCTTGTATGTAAGCAGGCATCGCTGCCTTTTTTTGAATTTTGACAGCTTCCTGCAGGCGAGTGGGCAGGGCTAACAGGCCTGTTACATCCAAGAAGCTGCCGGCCGTTTAATTACAACGGCCGGCAAACAGTTAAAGTGGACTTTTACCCCCTTTCACTGAATATCAAATCAGTGTGCAGCTCTGCATGCTGATTTAAAATCATATTGCATCCTGGGAAGGTTACATCAGCAGAATATTGCTGGGACATCTCATCTGTAATCTCAGGAGATCTTGGGGAGGCATTTTCCTCCCTTGAGATGTTTTAAGACCAAACTCCAAATATAATTCATAGTCACAAGATCTCAATGTTATGATACACATACAGGTACTACTTTAATGTTTTAGCTGCAAGCATCCTCAATTGGAGGACTGTACTCCCACCAGTTTTTTTATAGCGCAAAAGATTTTAGTCTTTATTAGGTTTTTATTGATTTCTGTGACCGCATTAGTCAGCTTCCCATAATTTCCAAACCTCCCCAGAAGAGATGGAGCAACAAAAACATGGTAGTCAGGAAGGCAGAAGAAGTCAATGCTAGCCAGTTGCATGTACATTCACGTTTGCACGGGCAGTCAAATTTACGTGAGCATGCTAATTCATGCAGACACATGGGCAAGCATGCCTAATTCCAGTCTTGGCTCTAGAGTTAGGGCATTTATAGGTGGTCTTCAGCTGTTACCCTGTGCTTTGAACCTGTTCCTGAAATGTGCATTTCCATTGCAATTCACAACATTTTTAGCCTTTCTGCGTTGGTTCCAAAATTTGTCTGGAGTTCTGCTTTAAATTCTAAACAGGCATCAGACTGTTCGAAATATATAATGATATAAGCTTAGAAGGTCACAAAAAAATTAAGAGACCAGTTAACACTGCACATATAATGCGTAATCGGTATTGTGTTAAAGGTGAACGTTGGTTGAAAAGTGTTAAAATATCTGTACTAAAAGAAGGGATTGTAAAATAAAGTCAGAGTTGTTTGCAACTCCCCATATGTTTTCATATGGAGTCGCAAAAGGTTAAGAGCCCAGTTATCATTGTAATACATAATCGGCATATAGTTAAGGTTGAACTTTGGTAGAAAATGTTAAAACACCCATTTTAATATAATGGATTGTAAAATAAAGTGAGTGTTTGTTGAAATTTTCTACAACCCCAATTCCAGAAAAGTTGGGACGCTGTCTAAAATCGACATAAAAACTAAATGCAATGATTTGCAAATCTCATAAACCCATATTTTACACACAATAGAAAATAGAAAACATATCAAATGCTTAAACTGAGAAAATGTACCAAGTGGTACTAACAAGGAAGAGCTGGAAGAACATTTTTCAACTAATTAGGTTCATTGGCAACAGGTCAGTCACATGATTGGGTATAAAAAGAGCATCTTAAAGAGTCAGTGTCTCGGAAGTAAAGATGTGCAGAGGTTCTGTGAAAAGCTGCATCTAAAATTGTTGAACAATTTTGGAATAATGTTCCTCAATGTAAAAATGCAAAGACTTTAAATATATTGTCATCTACAGTACATAATATCATCAAAAGATTCAGAGGATCTGGAGAAATCCCAGTGCGCCAGGGACAGGGCCGAAACACAATATGGATGCTGTGATCTTCGGGCCCACAGACCACTGCATTAAATACAGGCATGATTTTATGATGGACATCACTGCATGGGCTCAGGAATACTTCCAAAAATGACTGTGAACACAGTTTGCCATGCCATCCAAAAATGCAAGTAAAAGCTCTATCATGCAAAGAAGAAGCCATATCTGAACATGATCCAGAAAGGCCGCTGTCTCCTCTAAGCTAAAGCTCATTTAAAATGGTCTGTTGTAAAGTGGAAAACTATTCTGTGGTCAGACGAATCCAAATATGGCATTTGCTCTGGCAACCATGGGTGCCACATCCTCCGTACTAAAAAGATGAGGCACCTTCCAGCTTGTTATCAGCGCTCAGTTCAAGAGCCTGCATCCTTGATTGCATGGGGGTTCATTGGTTTGTATAGAATGGGCAGTTTGCTTATCTTGAAAGGCACCATCAATGCTATAAGAGATATCCAGGTTTTGGAGCGGCCTATGCTACCTCCCAGACGACATCTTTTTCTGGGAAGGCCTTGCATATTTCATCAGGACAATGCTAAACTGCATCTATGACAACAGAATAGCTCTGTAGTAGAAGAGTTCGGGTGCTTAACTCTCCTTCCTGCAGTCCAGACCTTTCACAAATTGAAAATATTTGGTGCATCTTGAAACGAAAAATACGACAAAGAAGACCAAGGACTGTTGAACAGTTAGAATCCTATATCAGGCAAGAATGGGACAACATTCCTCTCTCAAAACTTCAGCAACTGGTCTCAGTTTCCAGACATTTACAGAGTGTTGTTAAAAGAAGAGGGGATGCTACACCATAGAAATTATGGCCCTGTCCTTTTTTTTGAGACATGTTGCTGCCATCAATTTCCAAAATGACATTATATTTTTCTTAAAATGGTAATGTTCTCAGTTTAAACATTTTATATATTTTCTATTGTGAATAAAATACGGGTTTATGAGATTTGCAAATCATTGCATTCTGTTTTTATGTTGATTTTAAGGCTTGTCTAAACCCAGAGGGCGTGTGCGTTCCAGAGCAGTATCTGGTGGAATGAACCGCGATCGATGAGAAACTTCTCCCCACGTTTTTGGGCAGGAGGGGGCGTGGCGGTGCATTGAATTCAATGGCACCGCTTTCACGCCCCCCTGCCCGCAGTGCGATCGGACGCGTGGCAAAACTTTGCCAGCATTCCGTTCCACTGCAAACACAAAAAAAGAGCAAGCCCTATTTTTTGCGTTTGCAGTGGAACGGAACGCTGCCAAAGTTTTCTGAGTGATCGCGCAGCTACCGCTCTGGAACGCACCCGCTTTCGGCGTGAACAAGGCCTTACACAGCGGGCCAACTTTTTTGGAATTGGGGTTGTATTTAATTTTTGTTCTGGGGTTAGATATAATTTAGGAGGAATAGCTAGGGTTGCAGCATCACCATATGGATAATTTGAGATGGATTTTGGCAAGTTTGTGGTGGAACCTCTAAGATAAGATAAGTAGCTGGTAGCCATTAGCACTGTAGAAATGGTGTATGGTGCTGTGACTAGAAGAGAGTATAATTCCCATAATCTTTGAGATTATGGCAGGTGTCTGAAGGGCAGAGGCGGCTCTAGAGTTTGCGAGGCCTTAGGCGAAACCTAAACATGAGGCCCCGCTCAGGCCTGTGGGGTCTCATACTGGCCGAATGGACGGACCGAGGAAACAGATAAGCTCTCAGCCCTGTCGCTGTCAAACGGAGAGCCTCCGTTTGACAGCGACAGGGCTAAGAGCTTACGACATTACCTGGCTGTGAGGTAATGTGACGGCAGGGCAAATTAGGCGGTCGCGAGGCCCTCGGGAGCGCGAGGCCTAAGGCGATCGCCTAATTTGCCTAATTAAAGAGCCGCCTCTGCTGAAGGGAACCCCAGAGCAGCTTGGAGATAGACATGGGGTCTAAAGATTTATTTAAAGGAGAACTGTGAGGTGAGGGAAAATCAATCAACCTCATAGTTCGAGCTGACGTGTGACAATGAAACTGTCACACGTCGGCTCAATAGATCGGGAAGTGAACGAACGCATATCGAAGTAGCTCACTTCTCGATCATGTCGCTGCAGAGAGCCGTGACTGTCAGTCACGACTCTCTGCAGGGACCCCCCCCCTCCCCGCTCCGATCCTCTAGTGCTGACTTAAGGAACGGGAGGGGTGGGTACAGTTGGCTCTGCCTCTAGATAGGCAGAGCCAGCTGTCACTCACGCAGCTGGGGGGAACTCGGGAACCGTCCCGGCTGCGGCGGTCTCAGTATACCACGAGCTGTAGCTCGCGATATACTGAGCTTTGGGTCACGCTAGTTTATGGGACACTAGTTTATGTCCTCCCGTCACTCTTAACATAACTATGGGGAAAAACACTTACCCCATAGTTCTCTTTTAAGTGGACCCAAAGCAAACATATTAATTTACACATGGTAAATGATTTCCACTTCTTATTGTAGCCACATTTTGATAGCCCCAGTTAGAGTTACTAATAAATGCAAATACACTATTTAAACCATTTTGGCCTTTTCCCTATCTTTGCAACAACCCTGCAAGTTGTCAGTTATGATTTAACCAGATTTAGTATTAACATTTAGAGAGAATGGGAATTAGTATGCCTGTATGTGAGTGGGTGGACCTTATGCACAGTAGTAGATCATCTCCAGAAGCTCTCTTTTTTTTTTTTTTTACAGGCTTTCAAGTCAAATATTGAAGACTACACATAGTAGAGCTGCAGCCTATGATAAAAACTACAAGGATCCTTTATATGTATCATTTTTTGAATTGTTCTGTTCTTGTCTGATGTTAACTCATCATTCAGAAGAGTAGCAATGGGTTTTAATGACCTCCTACAAACCATTGGAGGGTTGGGCCGTTTCCAGGTCCTCAATACTGCTGTGTTGCTCTTTCCTATGATTTTTATGGCCTCACATAACTTCCTTCAGAATTTTACAGCTGCAGTACCTGTACATCGCTGTCGTATTCCAGAGTTGGACAATGCTTCGGTTTCTTTCAATATCAGCCATATTACACCATTTATACCAGTGGATGACAACCTGAAGAGCAAGAGTTGCATAAGGTTCAAGAATGCCGAACTTGGCCTCTGGACTAATGTCACTTCATCAAACAACACTGAATCCTGTAAGGATGGCTGGGTCTATGACAAGAGCATCTTCATCTCCACTATCATCACAGAGGTAATGCATAGAAAATAATGAGGCGGGTTTAATAAAAGATTTGATAATGTTCATTTGATAAAATGCGTGAAGATACACTTTAGTTATGGAATCATGTGAAAAGAAAATCCCTGTTTACGTATTTCTGCACATGAATGAATAATTGAAGTGAATATTCACTGGTGGCTGATTTGCTAAAGGTCTTGGATGCAAATAAGTTTTAAGAAGGATTACATACACACACACACACACACACACACACACCTTGTACAGGACACCAGGAATGGGTCCTGGATGGACTGTATATCCCTCCCTTGTTTAGGTGGTGGTCCAGTTAAAGTCACCTTGTATTCAGAGCCTCCATCCCTGACTACAGCCAGATCTGGTAATGAAAGGGTTAAACCACCAGCCAGAGGGTGTGTTAAAAAGGAACAGGAAGCCATTCAGTCTGGCTGTGTGGAGTGTTTGGAACAGGACACATGGCTATGTGTGTTAAGCTGTGGAATACAGTCTGCCGAGACACTGCTGGGGCACCTGCGTCCATACTGGAACCCTCTGTGCTCAGGCTGGGACTCTAACCCTGAGGCTGGGACTCTAACCCTGAGGTGGGACTTAGTATACAGGCGCTGAGCCGAAGTCTTGTGTTTGCTGAATATAAGCCATTTACTTTGACTGTTTGTGGAAATAAATAAAAGTTTATTGTCTGATACGGCTGGCTACGGGTCATATCCGCCCTGAATATTACAACTGGTGGAGGTAGCGGGCACCGAGCCGGAAAAGCAGTCGTTTGGACTGCTTAAAAAGACTGTGCATGCTTTGGTATGTCGTGGGTTAAAACTGCACAAGCTCTAAAATGCACAGGAGCAATGGAGGAGCTTGTTAAACAGTTAACCCTGGTTAATATACAAGCCCAGACCCGCTATGAGGAAACTCAGGCTCGCCAGGAACAGACTTTGGCCCTTCTGGTGCAATCCCAACAGTCCCACACGGTACAGCTGGGAGCTCAGCAGGAGTCCATGAAAACCCAGGTGGCACTGTTGCAGGAAGCTGTACTGCAACTAGCTCAAGGACGAGAGCAGTTGGCTGCTGCCCCTAGCAACCCAGTAACAGTGCGGGCCAGCCATTTCTTGCAAAAACTGACCCCCCATGATGATGTGGAAGCTTTCTTGACCACCTTCGAACGCACAGCAGAGAGAGAAGGGTGGCCCCAAGATCAGTGGGCTGGCCTCATTGCCCCATTCCTGTCCGGGGAGCCACAAAAGGCCTATTTTGATTTGCCAGCCACAGATGCGAAGGACTATGCCAAGCTGAAGGGGTAGATTTTGGCACGCCTTGGGGTAACTGTTGTTGTTCGGGCGCACCGAATGCACTGCTGGAGATATCGCGCCGGCCAGTCACCACGGGCCCAGATGCATGACCTGCTGCAACTGGCCACAAAATGGCTACAGTCAGATAAGTTAACTGCACCTCAGGTTGTAGAACGAGTCGTCATGGACCGTTACCTGAGGGCTCTGCCATCACCTGGGGGCTGAAAAGACAGAGGCACGGGTAACAGATCGGTTTTACTGGCCAGGCATAACTGCTGAGGTAAGGAGATATTGTGCTTCCTGTCCCACCTGTCAGCTAACTGCCCCAGTATCCCATTTCAGGAATCCCTTGGTGCCCCTACCTATTATTGAGGTACCATTTGAGCGTGTGGCAATGGATATAGTGGGGCCCTTGGTAAAATCGGCCCGCGGCCACCAGTATATCCTTGTCATACTTGATTACGCCACAAGGTACCCAGAGGCGGTCCCTCTGAGAAAGGCCACCTCAAAAGGAATTGCTCGGGAGCTGTTTAATGTATTCTCAAGAACAGGGTTTCCTAAGGACCTGTTGACGGACCAGGGCACCCCATTTATGTCAAAGATGATGGCGGACTTATGCAAATTGTTTCAAATTAGACAATTGCGTACTTCCGTCTATCACCCACAAACGGATGGCCTGGTCGAGAGGTTTAATAAAACACTGAAATCCATGCTCAGGAGGGTGGTGCAAGAGGATGGCAAAGACTGGGACTGCTTACTCCCAGCGTTGATGTTTGCCATTCGAGAGGTACCTCAAGCATCCACGGGATTTTCCCCATTTGAGTTGGTATATGGGCGAAGACCTCGGGGGTTGCTTGACCTAGTCAAAGAAACCTGGGAAAGTGAGCCGTTGCCACACAAAACGGTAGTTGAGTACATCACACAAATGCGAGAGAGGATCACCAAGGTAATGCCTTTGGTGAAAGAACATTTGCAGAAGGCACAAGAAGCTAAGAGCAGGGTGTATAACCGGTCTGCTAAGGTCAGACAGTTCCAGATTGGGGACCGGGTGGCTGTCCTTATACCCATGGTAGAAAGTAAATTTCTGGCCAAATGGCAGGGTCCCTTTGAGGTGGTGGAAAAGGTTGGTGAGGTAAATTATAAAGTACATCAACCAGGGAAGAGGAAGCCTTATCAGATCTACCATGTAAACCTGTTAAAACATTGGCAAGGCAGGGAGCAGGTAGTTGCGGTAGCCGAGGTTACATCAGGGCCCCCTGCAGGAAAGAAACTAGTGTCTGTTGGGGCCACCCTGTCAAAACATGAGACTCAGCAGGTGAAGGAATTTTTGCAGAGCAAGAGAGACGTTTTTTCAGAGTTGCCAGGCCTTACACATGTAATTCAACATGATATCGTGACAGAGCTGCAAACAAAGGTGAGAGTAAGACCATACCGCATTCCTGAGGCCCACCGGAAAGCTGTGTCTGAGGAAGTTCAGAGAATGCTAGAACTCGATGTCATTGAGGAATCGCAGAGTGAATGGTCAAGCCCGATTGTGCTGGTACCTAAGCCCAATGGAACTCTGCGATTCTGTAATGATTTCAGAAAACTCAATGATGTATCGAAGTTTGACGCATATCCGATGCCCCGGGTAGACGAGCTGATAGAAAGGTTGGGACCAGCCCGGTATATTACTACCTTAGATCTCACTAAAGGGTACTGGCAGATACCTTTGACTAAGGGGGCTAAGGAGAAAACTGCATTTTCCACACCGGAAGGTCACTTCCAATATAAGAGAATGCCGTTCGGATTACATTCTGCTCCGGCCACATTTCAAAGGGCGATGGATAGGACACTCCGCCCTCATCAAAGATACACCTCTGTCTATCTAGATGACATAGTCATTTTTAGTACAGACTGGGAGTCGCATCTTAGACTCCCTGAGACGAACAGGATTTACGGTAAACCCTGAGAAATGTGCCATCGGGATGGAGGAGGCCATGGGGTACATTGTGGGTAGAGGTTTGGAGAAACCCCAAATGAACAAGGTAAAAGCCATCCAGGCTTGGCCCCGCCCCGTAACTAAGAAACAGGTCTGAGCCTTCCTGGGCATAGTCGGTTATTACCGACAGTTCATTCCCAACTTTGCCTCTATTACTGTTCCGCTGGCTGACTTGACAAAAGGTAGGAAGTCGGTCATGGTTCAGTGGCATGAAAAAGCTGAGACAGCTTTTCTGAAAATGAAAGCGGCCTTGTGCCGAGATCCTGTGTTGGTTGCGCCGGATTTTTCTCAGTAGGAAGTTAACAGCTGCAGAGAAGAACCATGCAGTGGTAGAGAGAGAATGTTTGGCCATAAAGTGGGCTCTAGATTCTCTGCGATACTTTCTCCTTGGTAGGAAATTCTGCCTGGTGTCGGACCACGCTTCACTGACTTGGATGGGACAGAATAAAAACACGAATGCTAGGGTGACCAGATGGTTCTTAGCCCTACAGGAATATAAATTTGTGGTAGAACATAGACCCGGTAGATATCACCAAAACGCAGACTCCAGGTCCATTGCAGGGTGTCCCACATTGCCTCAGACACCTACGCGTCGAGGCAGAGGGGGTGGGGGGGGTGTACAGGACACCAGGAATGGGTCCTGGATGGACGGTATATCCCTCCCTTGTTTAGGTGGTGGTCACGTGCACTGTGTGAAAAATCAGGGGTCTAAACAGATCTCTGATATTTCCCTTTTAAAATAGAAAAAGAGATTGAGGACACAGAGTCCTCAATCTCTTTTACAGCAGCCCTTGCTATGAATGAACATGTAGCCTCTATACTGAGTGCTCCTGTCTATTCATAAACTGTGGAAATAGTATGAGTTACTATGTCCACAATCATGAATGAACAGGAAGTGATGTAGAGCACTTCCTGTGCATTCATAACTGGGGACACAGTAAGCATACTATGCCCTCAGTTATTTTCAAACACTCAGCGATTAGTCCTGATCTCTGAGCGCTTTTAACCCACTCTCCATCCTCACTCCTCTGCTCTCCATCCTGACTCTCTGTCACAGGAGGCTGAGCGGAGGGGTGTGGGAGGAGAGCTCGACCTCTTGTGACAGCTGACTCCTCTCCGCTCAGCATCCTGAGCTGTCTCCTCTCCACACTGCCCAGCTCGGCCTCCTGAAAGCTTCTCTCCACCCTGCAGGATGCCGGTCTGTTTCCCCTTAGAATAAATGTATTTGTTAATTAAATTATTTGTTTACATCTGGCTGCCGGCCCTGACAAGGACACATGGCCACAATTCGAGGTTGGAGGAAAGAAGTTTAATCAAAAATTGCGCAGGGGGGTTCTTTAATGGTTAGAGCAGCAGAAATGTGGAGCTCCCTTCCCCAGGTAGCAGTATCAGCTGGGGATGTTGACAGCTTCAGAAAACTTCTAGATGTCTTCCTCAATGGGCACAATATACATGGGTATGCATAGCCTTAAAAGACCCAAACTGACACAATCACACAAAGATACACACTTGGTGCACTGTGCAATCATGCAAGATGAATCTACTTGTATAGTTAAAACAATGGAGAGGCATTTGTTCAATCTGTGTAATGGTCGAATGCTACCATTAGCAATAAATTGCAAGCCATTTTAGAAGTGATAATAGTTTCTCGTATATGATTAAATTGTGGGATTGTGCTATCACAAAAGATTGATCACTCAGTCACTCCATTTAAAATCTGTGCAGCAGCAGCCTAATTCTCTTCGATTAAGCTGTGATGGGTAAAACGTGTTAGAGGAGTGGTACCTAGACAATAATTGCAGCATGAACTTGTATTGATCTGAAGAAATTTTCACTGAATGATGGTAGCAGAGATGCAACTGTTTGTTGTATTCCAAAGTTGGACAATGCTTCGGTTTCAAGTGTCACTGGAGCTCAAATGAGTTCATATGGTCAGCACCTGGCATTCCCGAAGTTCTGGGAATCTGGACTGAGAGTTTTAGAGTGGTGAAATAACATTTACCCTGCTAACTATAATAGGTGACTGTTATTAAAATAGGTGGAAGAGTGGGCCCAAATGCTTATTCTATTGGTGTTTCTCAACCAACACAAGTTAAGTGATGTGAATAGGAGTGATTTGGCTAACGAGTAGGCAGCTTCTGCAATCCAAAGGATCTTTACAGTATCCTTGGCTTGACAGCAAACACAAAAGATCTTGTAATTGAAGCACCACCTCAGTTAAAATAGTCCAGATACAACTTTATTCCATTAGGGTTAGGGGGACATTCAAATTGAGTAGCCAATGCGTTTCAGGGGTCCAAAACAACCCCCCCTTCATCACTACTTGTTCTATTGTGAAATGTTGTGTTGTGATTGGTGTACGTCAAGCTTGTTGGTACCACAATTTGAAAAGTGCTTTTCTTCTGCTTTAAAAGCAAATGAAGCCTAAAAACGTCTGAAAAACACACAACATGGTGCAAAAACACTTCAAAATCACCTGAAAATGCTCACGCTCAAGATGTGGAATAAGGCTTCTCAGGCGTGAGTCTCAGGCGTCACTCCCAGTCTTAAGGGGGAGTTTGAGACTCTTGCATCACAGCCAGTGAAAACAACAAAAAGTATTAATAACGCTATTATCTCATAGCATCCTAGTGATAGTAGTGGCAAAGTAAATACTGCACTTGAGTACCCTGGTAATAGCCAGAACAGGTCTGTTGGTAGGCCAGCAAGTATGTCCTGAGTTTAAGATCACTGTATACAGTCTAGCAGGGAAGCATGCATATGGAAAACTTGGTAGTCTCTATTAGGCTCCAACTGGAGCTATACTTGCGGTTTGTAGGAGGGGTGGTATCGCAGCCTCAGGGTGTGGGTCCGTTTAAGAGGTCTGGTACTTGCAGCAGGGTTCAGAGGTCCTGTCGGGGTTCAAGAGGCAATAAGGGGATGGAGGACCAGAACTATGAGACACGGCTACTAAATTTAAATATGTTCACGCTGGAAGTAAGGAGATTAAGGGGGGATATGATTTTCATGTACAAGATGTTCAATGGTGATAGCAACATTAGCAACAAACTCTTTAAGATTAATTCCGTAACAAAGACTAGAGGCCACCACCTAAAATTGGTAGGAAAAAAATTCCAACACAAGGGGCGAAGAGGGTTCTTCTCATTTCGAGTGGTTAGGGTCTGGAACTCGCTGCCACAAGCAGTGATTTCAGCAAATAGTGTGGAATCATTCAAGAAGCTTTTGGACGATTTCCTGAGAGACCATAAAGTACAGGGGTACAGGTTTTCTTAAGAATGAGATGACTCAGGGACCTATACACACACACACACACACACGCACACAATAGGTTGGACTTGATGGACTTATGTCTTTATTCAACCTCAAATACTATGTAACTATGTAACATAAACGTGCCAGAAAAATAATGTTACAAAAGTGAATTTTTATCTCTTTTCTTGCAGTGGGATTTGGTCTGTGACCTGCGTAAAATGAGGCAGGTAGCTCAGTCAATATATATGGCGGGAGTGTTGGTTGGAGCCTTCATACTTGGAAATTTATCGGACAGGTAATGGCAAAAGAACAGCAAATCACTCCTATCTATACAAAAAGAACATCAAAGGCTCACTTTCGTAATAGTTTCTTGTTTGCTTTTATATATATACTGTATATATGGCAGATTTTTCATCCTGTTGCAAAATAACATGCAAGTAATGATCAATGAGTGAAAGTAACAATAACAGCATGAAAACTCACTAGCTGATCCCCTCTGTTTGCCATTCCCTGGCATTTAGAATATGATAGTACAAGACATTTACAGATAAACAGTTTTAGGGTACATTTCCAATTTATGGATTTCTTCATACATTTGTTTCTCACAAGATTATGCAACTTTCACCCAGGAATTCATACATTTTCCAATTTGAAAAATGTGTGAATCTTAAGTGAACATTGTGTGCAAATGTTTATAATTTATGTATGTTGGATATAACGACTGTACATAGTGAAGGTGGCAGTAAAGTAGATTTCACTTAATATATATTATCATAAATCAAAAATAAAACATTAAGGATCCATTCACGCTATTACGGCGCAGTAGCACACACGCACTATTCCTTGTGTTAAAGTATTAGGGAGCCCATCCATTTAAATGGGGTACCTAATGCACCAAAAGAGTGCACCAGCAAAATGCATCGGGCTGTCATTCAAAATGCAAATAACGTTGCACTAAAGTATTGAGACACTAAGTGGTGTATTTTTATATATGACTTTAAACAAGATTTACACAACTTTCACTTAAGATTCACATATTTTTCAAATTAAATTTCATTAGGAAAATGTGTAAATCCTGGGTGAAAGTTGTGTGACTCTTGTATGAAAAAAGGTGTTGCATACCTTAGCGTCACAGCTTTAGCGCTGCACTTTTTTTTTATAGAACTAAAACTATGATCAGTTTTATATGTTTTTTGAATGTTTAGTTTATGATCTATAGAAATATAAATGATTTATATACGTTGTAGATTATAACTCATCTACATAGGGATGAGTAAACCAAGCAATGATCAGTGAACTGAAGGGAGATCCCCACACATAGTGCTAACCTGTATTAAAGTCTAATGGAGCAAATCTTGTATTATTTATGGCATTTTCAAGGCTAATGTACAAGCTTGTTGTTAACAAAAGGACATGGGTAGGTGGGCACTGCTCAGGAGACATTTACCTATGAAAACTAAAAACACAAAGCGCACAGCTCACCCCTATCATGCGTCCTTGCAATCCACACTCGGTGCACGGATTACTCCCTTCTGGAGTGATAGGCTCAAAAACTGTAGAACCAGGAAGTGATAAGTAACACAGAAACGCGTTAGAGATTGTTCTTTGTATAAATGCATGTGGAATAAAGTTTGAATTTCTTTGGAAGATCATTGTGTGCTGGTTCTACAGTTTTTACTAGGGTTGCACAGATACCAAGTACAGTACTCGGTACAAGTACGAGTACATGTACCGATACTTCTGAGCTCCAGGACTAGACTAGAGAAAAATTCAAAAATTAGGAGGCAGCTGTCATTTGTAAGGAGCACACGGAGCTCCTGCGATTTGTACATCTCTGTTTTAATGTATGATTTTATTTTTATAAATATAAATAAAGGGATGCACAGATACCAGTTTTGCGAGTACGAGTACTGGTACTTGCCGAGTACTTACAAGTACGAGTACTGATACATTTTTGTTTATTGTCATGTGACAGTTTTTCTAAAACAATACAGACTAATGATTTCAGGACAGTGGTGGAGCGCCAGAGCCAGGTCCCAGCTGCAACCGCTGTAACCCTGGTAGTTCTCATGAAAAAGCCAAGTATCTGCACTGGTACTCGAAAAGTATCTGTGCATCCCTAGTTTTTACATTTTCCAATGCATAGAAATGTTAAAATGCGGGGAGAGGGTCTTAAATGTGGTTTAAAGGGCAACATTGAAAATACACAAATCCAATAAATAACATGCTTGGGCGATGCCTTAAAGCTGCATGTGAAGTTATGGAGCAATACGACTTAACCCTTGAAAAAGTGACAAAGAAAAGTTGACATGGGACAAATGCTACCTGACCCCCCCCCCCACCACCTTACCATGCAAGGCACCTTTCAAGGTACCTTGTCTCAAAATTGAGGCAACAAGGGCCTCATCCTCACATGGTGCCCCTATTAATTGGGCCATATTGGAATCTAGAGGCCCTGATATCAGGCTAGGTCATTCCCCCCCAAATTGAACTGTTAATAAACACACATACTATGACAAAGTCCTTTATTAAAGAAATAATGTCCCACAATGTAAATCCAATGTCAACCATGTCGTCTAGTGATGTAGACGCCCGAGGCACAACCATTGTTAAATGAGAGATCACTAGCCGGCTGCTGTTTGTAAATAGGAAACTCATAGTTTTTATCTGTTTTTTTTTTTGTATTTGAATGCACTGGCAATGCCCCACAACGCACTTAAATAGTTCTTCAGTTTTTGGCAACACAATGCAGCACAGCACGGGGAGTACATTACCTTGTGGTGTTCTGCAATGCAGGTGCTTTGTGTAATTCGGAATGCATGTGTGTTGCTGCAACTCAATAGTGTAAAACCAGCGTTAATAGTTTGTTTGTTTGTTTTTTTGCAACCTATGCTAGTCTTCTATGCCTGCTCTTGTAGAGCAACCACCTGTGTCAGTTTAAATGTACTATATACAACTTGAGAAGCATACTGCTGTAGTAGATAATGAAGAGGTAATAACATTGGATAACAAATTTATATTTGTATTCACTTTTATTTATCTGAAAGCAGGGAATAGACAGACAAAATCATAACTCTTACTGATCGGAATATTTTATAAATGACAATTTACACTCTTCTTTGTCTGTATTAGGTTTGGCAGAAAAACTATTCTGACTGGCTCTTATCTCATGATGGCAGTATCTGGCACATGTGTGGCTTTCCTCCCCAACTTTGTCACTTATTGCACTTTTCGATGTCTATGTGGGATTGCTTTCTCTGGAATTACTCTGAACACCATCTCACTTTGTAAGTAATTAGCTAAAGTACAGTATATAAAAAGATCAATAAAAAAAAAAAAACCTTAACAGTGTTACTTTCAGACAATAAATTGCAAATTAATACCAGTATTATTCTTATTTTATTGTATTTATTATGTCCTATACTTTATTTCCAGTGAACTGTGTTAAGCACCTAAAGTTATGTGTCCAGGTTAGATTTTTTTTTTTTTTAACATAGATAGATAAATGTGAAATAAAAAATAATCTAACCTGGACGACCTATGCACACATAACCCTCTTATATGCCCATCTCAATGCCTTTTCTCTCAGTTTATGGCAACAAGTGGCTATAAGAGTCTTACCTGTTGGTATATGGACCCATCCAGGGTGGCTCACCTATCTTCATCATCTAAAAAGTGCTTTAGGGCAGTGGTTCTCAACCTATGTAACCTCAGGACCCACATTTGTCCTTAGTCACTAAGTCATGACCCAAGTCGCACCGCACTGGAACGCATGGCATTGCGATACCATGGGTTTTGGTGTGGGCGATCGAACTGTGGGTGGGGGGTGCGTTTGGGGTGCCAATAGCAAGTTTGCATGGTACAGCGCGTTAATCACACGGGACTCTGCTTGTGTGAACAGGTCCTTAAAAACACTGACATACATACACAATCTCACACACTCACAGACATTCTCACACACACACATACACACACAAAATATTTTCTTTTTTTAATATCCACCCAGTCTCCCTATCTTACGAGTGGATCCTCAGCCCGGGGTTCAGTGTGGTCTGCTGTGCTGTGATAAAGCTACATCAATACATGCATTGCTGGTACAGCTCCCTTGTGTGCCCTGTAGAGGTTCTGGGAGCCAGAATGTGACCTCACTCCGGTCCAGGCACCTCTACAGGACTTGTTAGGGAACTGTAAGCAATGCAAGTATGAATGGAGCTCCTTGCAGCCATACCCCCATCCCATCCTACCTCAAGCTGACACTTGGCAACGTGCAGCATATTCTGAATGGCTGCTCGGTGCAAGAACTGACACTGCTGTGCTAGAGGGAGGCTGAGGAGCCTTTCACCTAGAAAAGTGGAAGGTATGCTGCAACCCACTGAACACAGGGTTGCGACCCACTTTTTGGCCACGACCCACCAGTTGAGAAAAAAGGCTTTAGGGGATGCAGTGAGGTTGGCCATGTAGAACACATCTGGTGGATATGCCCCTTTGTCACTATCTCAATGCCTTTTCCTCTCCCGCAGTTCACACCTACATCAACAAGTGGTTACTAGATTTCCTAGCCACTAAAACCAGAGTATTGGTCTTAAATATGGCTCAACATATCTAAGAGTTCTAATATTACTTTCCAGGAGGCAGTTTATAAGGCTCTTACCCATTGGTATCTTACCCCCATACAGGGTGGTTCACCTACCTTCATCTAACAAGTGCTTTAGGGCCTAGGTTCTCAACTGGTGGGTCGTGACCCAAAAGTGGGTCGCGACCCTGTGTTCAGTGGGTCGCCGTGTGCCTTCCACTTTTCTAGGTGAGAGTCTCTTAGCCTCCTCCTAGTGCAGCACTGTCAGTTCTCACGCAGAGCAGCCATTCAGAATATGCTGCCTGGCGTCGAGTGTCAGCTTGAGGTGGGCTGGAGCTATGGCCACGAGGGAGCTCCATCCATAAGTGCATTGCTTAGAGCTCCCTCACGTGCCCTGTAGAGGTGCCTGGACCGGAGTGACGTCACATTCTGGCTCCAGGGAACCTCTACAGGGCGCGCACAGAGGTTGTACCAACTATGCATGTATGGATGGAGCTCCATTACAGCACAGCAGCCCAGCACTGGACCCCCAGCTGATGATCCACTCCAGTTCTTGTAATGGCACCCCAAACGCACCTCCCGCCCACAGTTCAATCGCCCGCACCGGAATGCACGATACCGCAGTGCCGTGTGTTCCGTTGCAATGCAACTTGGGTCACCACTTAATGACCAAGGACAAATGCCGGTCCTGAGGTTACACAGGTTGAGAACCACTGCTTTAGGGGATGCAGTAAGGTTGGCAGGTTGGCATTCTACAACACATCTGGTGGACATGCCCCTTTGTTACTACCTTCTGGTCCAAAGTGTTTGACTATTGCATACTTTACGTAACATTTGGATACAGCACAGCTCATGGATTTCCCTTCTACATGACCAAACTCAGGGCACACATAAACAACAACATAAACTGGTGACATTCATCTGCTTGTTAGCAAAACAAACCATAACTGTAGCTTGGGAAGTGCATACTATTCCCATTCATAAGGTGAAGACTTGTCTCCATGGCTTTATGATCAATGAAAAACTTTCTAGCATCTTAAATGACTCTCATGAAAATTTACCTTGAAAAATAATAGCATTCTGGGATTTATTATGTAGATATCCCAGGGGGCCGGGGGAGCAGGGCCTCATCATTCTTGCCTAGGTGAAAATGGTGGTGGGGGCCCGCGGGTTGAATGAGAGAAATCTATGCATGTTTGGCTAGCACAGACACTTCCACAGCAATTCTAATCTTGTCATATGAGGCAACTAGAATTCAGATAATCAAACTAGATTTAAAACCAGTTTTTTTTTAAAATGACTTTTTGAAGTTCTGTATTACACAACAACAGGGTGTTTTATGTATTTGCTTGTTTTTAAATATCTTTCAGGTCTAGAATGGACTCCACCCAAAGGGCGGAATGTAATTGGCACACTGTTTGCCTACAGTTTTACCTGTGGACAGCTTCTGCTACCAGGATTTGCTTATGGGATTCGAGAATGGCGCTGGCTTCAGTTCACTATTTCTTCGCCATATTATGTCTTCTTCCTGACTTCATGGTAAGAGGTATTAATATCTAACTCAATTAATCTTTTGGAAAAATAAAATATCTCCTACAATTTGAAATACTAATTATAATTCTTTGTAGCAGAAATGTTGAACGCAAAGTAAAGGGTCTATTTATCAATCTTCCACGCATCATATGACAGTTCGCAGTAATGCAGTTCTTGCGGCATTCCCAACACTAGATGGAGGCAAGGCCTATGCTCCTTGCTTCCATCTAGTGGCCGGAATTCCATGCAAAGACCCCTAGAACTCAACCTTTCAAAAACTGAGCTGATCTTTCCTCCCCCCGTGCACCTTTCCCCAACTTTTTCCTTGAGATTGTTAACACAACTATTCAAACCTCCCCCCATGCCAAGGTCCTAGGTGTCATCCAGTGGCGGAACTACCGCCGGTGCAGGCGGTGTGGGCGCCCGGGGCCTCAGGCTCTCGGGGGGCCCAGCAAGTTGCCGGCCGCCGGATCGTTATCCAGCGCGCGGCGGGCCCCTGGTCTCTCCGCCCGGAGTGTCGGATCATCCGTTCATCCGACACTCCCGGCCAGTGTTGTAGCGAGGGGGGGCCGGGGGGGACCGCTGACCTGCGGCATCAGACGCGGCTCTGTATTCGGCCGCTCCTCTAGTGGTTCCTCTGCAGGCCCCTGCGGTCTGTCCTCTACAATGCCTGTTTAGAAGGCTGCGTCTGCCTGATCCAGCTAGTATGCGATTCGGGCTGGCTGGATCAGGAAGAAGCTGCCCTCTAAACAGGCACTGTAGAGGACAGACCGCAGGGGCCTGCAGAGGACCCACTAGAGGTCACCTGATTACAGAGCCG